GTTAAGGGAATAAGAAATATTATACAGGGTGTTCGGCCAGCCCTGGGAAAAATTTTAATGAAGATTCTAGAGGCCAAAATAATACGAAAATCAAGAATATCACATTCTTGAGTGAGGCTTCGTTAAAAAGTTATTAAAAAATTTCAAATCATTCTGAAAAAATTATTTTTGGTTGCGGGGCTCAATTACAATCATTTTTGGTGAATACACATACCTCTGAATTCCTACCCATTTTCGAGAAAAAAATTCGAAAATGTGAAATTTTTCGACTAAATTAAAAAATTTCAAATCGTTCTGGGAAAATTATTTTCGGTTGCGGGGCTCAATTACAATCATTTTTGGTGAATACACATACCTCTGAATTCCTACCCATTTTCGAGAAAAAAATTCGAGAATGTTGTGAAATTTTTCGACAAAATTAAAAAATTTCAAATCGTTCTGGAAAAATTATTTTTGATTGCGGGAATCAATTACAATAATTTTTTGTGAATAGACCTACCCCCGAAATCCTAACCACTTTCTAGGAAAAAATTCAGTTCGAGCGAAACTTTAAACGTTAATAATTTTTTAACGAAGCCTCCATCAACAAATTAGTATTCTTAATTTTCGTCTTATTTTAGCCTCTAGAATCTCCCATTAAAATTTTTCCCAGGGGTAGCCGAACACCCTGTATAAAATCGTATAATATAAGAAATTAAATTTCTTATAAAATTATATTATTATTAGACTGCGGATGTTTATGCATTTTTGGGGAATTTTAATTCTCAATAAACTACAGAATGCACTTAATATGCAAAGATCTAAGAAATACTTAAAGTAAGATACGAATTATTATATTTAAGGGTTGAGACAATCATCTACAAAGCTCCCATTTTATTAATTCTATTAATAAAAATATGAATTTGCATAAAGATAATTATTATAGACTTGCATTGAATTTCTGCTTGCTTCTAAATGTCGTTTTATAATTTTTACGTTCCCATATTATATTTAACCTCCACTTGTTACTAAATAATTTTTACATTTTAAATATCGTTTAATACTTTTTTTAGTTGCCTAAAGTATATAAATGCAAGTAACTTCCATTGCTTTCGAAGGGAATAAAGAAAATGTTAAAACGTTTAAAATACCTCGCCGATCATTCTGAAGTAAATTATTTTATTAAATTGACCGTTCTCATCGTCAGTCGCGGACTCTTGCATTACATGAATATCATTGTGTTCCTTGGCTAGCGGAAGTTTTAATTACATTTCATTCACAGAGGAGCAGTACTGTAAAAACGTGGACTACAAAAAGTAGGCGTTGAAACTGTCGCTATCAATAATGCAGTTGTGGTTACATATTCAGATAAACGTGTACATAATGACGATCCATATTGCTCTCGTGAATTGTCTCTTTTCGGTATTGAGACGGTAAAAAAGAGGTCATTTATTCGCTATTGCGTCGATGAAAATAGCTTCCATGTTTTCTAGCATTTTGCAATGAATATCAAAGAACTTTTTGTCAATAACTCTAACATATGGAAAACATCTTCTCTTCAGTTATCGAAGTCATAGTAAACAGTTAATAAAATAAAGAACAGAATAAAAAGAAAAAATAACAAATACGTGCAATTTTTATTCTTATTATTCTTTCGTATTTTCGGAGTTATTTCGAAAGAATAATAAGAATAAAAATTGCACGTATTTGTTATTTTCTAATCGGCTATTTATTCTATTTTTATTATTTCGTGATATACAGGGTGTTCGAGTATCCCTGGGAAAAATTTTAATAAGAGATTCTACAGGCCAAAATAAGACGAAAATCAAGAATACCAATTTGTTGATTGAGGCTTCTTTAAAAAGTTATTAACATTTAAAGTTCCGCCCGTACTGAATTTTTTTCTAGAAAGTGGGTAGGATTTCGGGGGTAGGTCTATTCACCAAAAATTATTGTAATTGACCCCCGCAACCGAAAATAATTTTTCCAGAACGATTTGAAATTTTTTTTCACCGCAAAGTTTCAGCACCTTGTCGATTTTTCTTAAAAATTTGTTTTTCATTTTTAATAAATATATGTATTTGACGCTCTACAGAAAAGTTGGCTAATACTTTTTTGTAGCTACCTATGGGCTCTGCGTCAGAAAAAAATTTCAATGAGATACCTTTACTATTGTAGGAGTTATGACAGTTTGAAAATTGGATCAGTTTTAGGGGGTTTTTCACACTTTACGATGTCAAGGAACAACTTTTCCAACATTCTCATAATCTCCACATATTCTCCACTAAAATTCGCGTTGTTTGCTTTTTGAAACATTAAAATCGTCCAATCCGTTCAGAAATTATTACGTTTTAAAAATTCGCATGAAATTTCAAGACCTCACATTAGATTTTCGGTAAAGAATTTTTTTCTCGAAAATGCATAGAAATTCAGGGGTATGTGCAATGACCAAAAATGATTGTAATTGACCCCTGTAACTGAGTATAATTTTTTCAGTATGATTTGTAATATTTTAATTTCGTCTAAGAATGTCAGTATCTACTCGAATTTTTTTCTCAAAACTGGGTAGGATTTCAAGGGTTTGTGTATTCACCAAAAATGATTGTAATTGAGCCCCGCAAACAAAAATAATTTTTTCAGTATGATTTTAAATTTTTAATATTTTTTTAACGAAGCCTCGATTAACAAATTGATATTCTTGATTTTCGTCTTATTTTACCCTCTAAAATTTCCCATTAAAATTTTTCTCAGGGGTGACTGAACACCCTGTATACAATATGATCAATGTCAGAAAAGTATCTAACAGTCGTGTCTGACTATAAATCGAATAAGGGAAATTCTACTGTATTTAAGGAGCTCATGGTTAATCGGAAGAGTTGGGCAGATTTTATTCCCGAATAACGAATACAAATTTAGATTCACTCGTTAATTAGCTTTTGCCTGCGATCGTCGGTTTAAAAAGTCCGTCGATAGAGTCGAATTTACAAACGAAAAACAAACAGAAATCAGTTTACGATTTAATCTAAAATTTGTATTTATTCGTTTCGATTAAAATTGTCCACACTCTGGCCAGAAAAATTAGTCGAATTATCTACATAGACTAACAAATATTCATTTTGTAAGTTAATAGATTTTCTATTAAAAGAAATACCGATTTTTAAATAGAGTCAAAATATAACCCATTTTAGTAAAAATTTACCTGGTTTGATAATTAAAGTAATCGATAATTATTGGTATACCAGAAGTTGAAAGTTTTAGAAGAGAATCTTGAAAATTTCAGTTTTTAATAGTCCATTCCATTTGTCATAAATTAAACTTTCTGTCTTCCACAAAAATTTATATTTGATACGAAGTTTTTTTATACCTCGATAAAAAGTGCTTATAATTAAATGATTATATCCTAACACGTTCGGTAATGAGACCACTTACCTTAAATTTCTGACTAAGTGACCGTTACTGGTCGATTCTGGTTTACGCGAGAAAAGAAACGACGAAAATAAAGAAAAAAAAAAGAACCAACTTTGTACAGCGATCAAAAATTATTTTCTATAAGCTTTGACCGTCTCCGTGGCGCATGCGAAAAGTCATTGTGGAAAGTTTCCACATTTGAGAACCAGTGCTTTACGCACCAAAGCCATTGACCTTTCTTCGTCACTTTTCTTTTATATTGAGGACGACAAAAGTATGCGAACAGGATGATAAATAAATGATAATCTCGTGCTTCCCGCCTCTTTTTATGAATTTATAAAACAGCGTCGTTTCGAGTTGTGCAATTATAGCAATTACGTGGAAGGTACAATGAAGATTATACATCTAGACCTTGAACGATTACGATCTTCCGGTGGTAAAATTTTAACTGAATTGAAATCACGGTTGCTGTCCCGTTTTACACTATCTTCAACAAAATGATCACAGTACATATCTTTAAACTTGAGAGAGAGATAAGGAGAGTTTTATCAGGAAAATAGATTCTTAAATTCTTGTTTACACTCGAATAGTGGTTATTTGATAATACGATAGTATTTATGAACAGTAACAACATAGATGGAAATAAAACTCATCGATTATATTGTTTTCTTAAATCAGCTTACGATTGTTTGGATGTCGCATTACAGGAATTTCTAAACTTAATTCGAATTCAAATAATCGTAACATTACACCTCGAACTAAATAGAACAACTAAATTAAATAGATGAAAATAAAAAATTTATTGATTATTTATAACCGCCTGGGATGTTATCGGTATCAATGAAACCCGTCGCTGACGAAGGTAAAATTCACGTTCGTTCTATTATTCCGAGCAACTGATGCTAAAAGTTACATTAAATTTTGACATCTAAACGAAAGTTCACACGAATATAGATCTCGTTACTACAAACTAAAATAGTACGATAACAGTGATCCGGCACTTAATTCCTTATCGTTGCGGAGTATTTGGTGGCTCCAGTTACTGTTAGATGGTTTCCAGTACCATTGATAACAACTAAACGTCGCCAGAACCGTATCGTTTTACATTTACCGAATCGAAGCACGATCCATCGCGCGGGGATTCCATCGTCTTTGCCGCCGTCTAACGCCATCGAAACTTATCACGGATCCTCTTTCGTTCCGCCGTTGCCAAAACCAAGAGCTTCCCGGTCGTTTTCGATTCACTTCACGACCGACAAATCTACGCGTATTTTGGTCGTCACGTTGAATCTCGGTTAACCGGTTGGACGAAGCAAACGGGGCAGCGAGAACTCGTAAGAAAAAACTGTACGCTACAAGCTCGTCCCGTTGTCATATGGCGAAGCCAAGGAAGCCCTAATTCACGGCACTTGATTTAGGCATTCAACTCCGTCTCACGCCTACCGCGATGACACAAAGGGTAACTATTTTGAACGAGGCCTTTGAAAAAAGACAGAAGTCAAACGGCGGAAAGGTACCGAAAGCGATTCCCACTCGAGCTGTACGCGATCGTCACGTCCAGGGCAGCGATCCTAATTCTAGTCAAATAACCGAGAAATAACAGAGAAATTTACCCCATTTTTTCCCGGTGTGACCGCAGTAGGTCCCCTCGGCGGGGTCGTGAATATAATGCTGAATGGCTTTCCACTTCGTCTTCGCTTCGGGCATCCGATTGTAATCGAGGTTGTGGGAATTATTTTGTAGTCTGTTGCCGGTCGTGGTCATCGTGACGAACGCGAGAAACCGTTACTACTCGCGACGAACTATCGCACGGCACTGGCGTCCCGTCGGAGGCGTTTTTAACGCGCGCGTGAAGTCGGAGGACAAGTGCACAAAGAAACGTACGCAATGTATATACGCAGACGCGCGCGAGCAACTGAAGGAGCACGGTTTCGCGACGCTGAGCGATAGTTGCACACACTCCTTTCGCTGCCCGTGGCCGCCGAGGATGACCGAACGATACCGCGAATAGTCGGACGAGACTACGACCTGTTGGCCCTACGGTTACCGATCGAGTAGCAGGAAATATGTTCCGCGAGATACGTGCATATCGAAGCCTACATATCGCTGTTTTATTCTCGACTCGCGACTACAGTACGGGGCAAAATTGGAAACCTCGAAGCAGGAAGGATGGTAATTCATTTTGTAGCTAATATGCATCGTTCGGTGCAAGTTTTCAACTTGAAGAATTCATTAAAAACACAAACGAAAGCTTATCCAAAAAGTTACCTAACCCCAATGGCTACTAGCTATTGCGAATATGTACTTTTCTTGTCGAAACCGCGTCTACGATTCGAATTCCAATTTTTATTTAGCGCATAGCCTGGCGCTTTATTCAATGAGAATTATGTTCTTTCATAGTCGTTAGCTATCACCGATCAATCACGTGATAGAACCGCTTATCAAACTTATCTCACGGAACAAACCGGAGACTACTAGCACAGACGATATTGTATACGTCGAGTACACCTTTCACCCAATGTATTTTTTTGGCCCATTTTTCTGGGGCTCTGGAGCCCCCATTACAATTTTCGTGTCGCTCGCAACGTTATCAACAAATTTAAAAATAAACACAAGAGGAAGTGAGACAGAAAATGAAGTTACAGAAATTTAGTATTTTTTAACGGAATGAAAACTGTACGATTAATTTCATTACAGTCATCGATCGAAAATATAAACATATAAGATTATTTAAAGATTAAGATAGAATAATAAGATTATTTAAAGATTTGAAAATTATTAAAAAAATACGTAAGGATGTGCCTCATTGATAAGTACACCGAAAATCCTCTATTTTTTATTTTAAATTGTAATACGTCATTTATTTAAAAAATAACTCGGTAGAACGTATTTGCGATTCGAAATCAGTGTTATCAGACTACGCATCGGGGGCTCCAGGAACTCCTCATGCCACTTTCTCACACTATACTCAATAGCGTGTACTTACGTGAGCTCGTAAAGTTTCCAGTGTCCAGTTTCTAATCTAGTGAAGAATAGTTTCTCAACTAACCGCCATCCATGAAAAGAGGACGCTGAAATCACCTTCGAATTTTCAGGTCGGTATGGCAGTCAGATTGAGCCACGAAATACATATACCATAAGGTGAAAGGTCTACTCGTATGTGTACTTCGTCTGTGCTACTAGAGGATGGTAGATGGATGTCATTTTATTACAGTAGGACCTTCAACGTTAGAACGTATAAACAGAAAAGCGTAGTATAATAAATAGTATTTAAAAAATATTAGCAAATCGAAAGGTATCGCGGATTATAAAAGGTACTTGGATATTTTTAGGCATAAAAAGAATACGATTCGTACGGTTATGTAGGTTAGAAAATCTTATGAGATTTGACAATCCCAGTGAGTCCGATATGGTTTGTTTATATTACACTTTTATTACCGGTGGTGTTATTTTACCTCAAGTATGAAACGAACGCCGACAAAAAAAAGTAAGCGTTCTTATATCCGAAAATTATCTTAACTGAACGATCTCCCTATTAGTTCGAGTAATGGAGGTCCTGCTGTACCGTGTATTCGCTATGTAGTCAATACTTATTCCACCGTTACTTATTCACTCAAGGTTCGTTCGAAATACACCGTGTAAAAATTATATTGGCTCGTATCGTGCTAAATGATCCTCACTTTTGAGTAATCTTTCGAAATATGTAGGTATTATGCAAATTGCCGAACTAAATAATTTGTGCAGCGATAAGCACATCTACCATTACTCCAACATACCAAGTAACTTACAATAGTAATTGTAATAATAATTAAAATAAAATGGATATTTCTTTTAGTAATTTAAATAAAATGTATCCCTACTATTTTATATTATGATATGTTATATTATGTAAAATAAAGAGACTGTCTAAAATATAAGTTGACGAACGCGAAAATGAAGTTAGAAAATAAACCTTAGAAACAAATAATATTTGGTTACGTTTCTATTTAAATAATAATTTATTAATTTCTTTAACGTTCCGTTTGGTAAGGCAAAACCAAGCACTATATCGCGGAATAGATCAACTTGAATCCATAGACGTATTAGATGTTATCTCTAAAAGTGTACAGCGGCAGTATAAATCGGAAACGCTCAAGGTCACATTATTTCGCATGTTTCTTGTCACGAGGTACAAACGTAACTAAGATGACGCTTTGCCGTGAATTGGATTTCACATATTCGATGAAGGACAATTATTTGTGGAAGACCATCGACGACTAATTTTATCCTCGAAATTAGATCCTTTAACATTGACTCGCAGGAGTGGAAATGTACAAAAGAACAACATTTTTTTTTAACTTTTGAGATACTCTTGAGAACAGAAATAAATAAAAAGAATTTTTTTAGTCCATTACTACAGACACGTTAACACATAAAGATGAAGATTTACAATTTAGTATGACCATATTCGAGTAGAGGTTTTTTTTTTAATCTCAAGTGGGCATGTTACTTGTTATACTTTTATTTTTGAATTACCAACGTCATTCCTGAAAAAGATCTACAGCTGGGGTCGAAACGTAATTGAATAAACAAATTATTTTTTGACCAAAATAGTATTTAAAATAAACTCAAATATATTTTGAATTCGATAGGACTGACAGTATCTTTGATTTACGTATCATTTTCGTATGTACTTTGGTGTAAGGTTCTTTATTGTTTATAGTAAATTATCCAAATCATGTTCAAAATCCTAGTTACTAAGAAGAAATAGAAGATTACTACTGGCCTTCCTTAATTTTAATTTATTCGATTGAAAATTAATTTAACAATCAATTCGTCTTTTTTTTAAGAAAAACCTTAATTTTCTTGAAATTTACCTATTATTATTTGAAAGTCTAACGAGTGAGAAGTACGTTGCTTGATGTTGGAGGCCCACAAATTGCATTCCACGGTGACCAGTCTGTTTGCTGTAATAAATATAAAAACGGTGTCCGTAGTGTTTTCGATATTTAACAACGTAACTCTATCTTACGTGTTAAATTCTTGAACTGCAACGCAACAATGGGGGACAAATAATATGGTTGCCCGGAAAATGGAAAATATTCAACTGGAAATCCTGGACTGGGTATATATTCTATTTCGCCGATGTGCTCTTTGTCGACGTTGTTCGCTCCGTCGCATGACAACCAAACATAAAACTACAATAGAATAAATTTCAGTATTTCTTGCTACCTCTCGACGCAAAGTCTAAAACTTGCTACGAAAAAATTCTTTCAGTAGGTTGTGCAATAAGTCCATTCGCGTTTCTTTACGAGAATATTAATCCTCGAACAGCTGCTACCCGGAGTCCATTTTGTTTCAACACTAAATTTTCTTATTTCACATTCTTGTATTTAAATTTTAATATTATTAAGATAAGATTATTATATTTGTAAATTCTTTACTCGCCATTATTGTTTATTTTTAGAAGATCATTTATAATAATTATTATCGTTATACAGGGTGTTTGACCACCCTTAGACTTCGGACTCCATTTTGATTCGTGCAAACTGTTCGTTCCAGAATCGAAAAATTCTAATGGGAGATTCTAGAGACCAAAATAAGACGAAAATCAAGAATACCAATATATTGATGGAGGTTTCGTTAAAATGTTATTAACATTTAAAGTTTCAACCGTACTGAATTTTTTTCTCGAAAATGAGCAGGATTTCGGGGGTATGTCTATTTACCAAAAATGCTTGTAATTGACCTCTGTAACTAAATATGATTTTTTCAGCATAATTTTAAATTTTTGAATTTCGTCTAAAAATTTCAGTACCTTCTCGAATTTGTTTCTAGAAAGTGGGTAGGATTTCGGGGGTATGTCTATTCACCAAAAATGATTGTAATCGACCTCCGCACCCGAAAATAATTTTTCCAGAACGATTTGAAATTTTTTTTTTCGTCGTAAAATTTCACAACTTCTCGAATTTTTTTCTAGAATGTGGATAGGATTTCGGAGGTATGTCTATTCACATAAAATGATTGTAATTGACCCCCGCAACCGAAAATAATTTTTCCAGAACGATTTGTAATTTGTTTTTCGTCACCTAATTAGATTTTCGGTAAGGAATTTTTTTTTCGAAAATGCGTAGGATTTCGGGGGTTTGTGTAATGACCAAAAATGATTGTAATTGATCCTCGCAACCGAAAATAATTTTTTTAGAACGATTTGAAAATTTTATTTTTATCGAAAAATTTCTGTACCTACCCAATTTTTTTTCTCGAAAGTGGGTAGGATTTCGGAGGTATGTGTATTCACCAAAAATGACTATAATTGACGCCCGCAACCAAAAATAATTTTTCTAGAACGATTTGAAATTTTTTGATTTAATTGTTAATAACTTTTTAACGAAGTCTCAGTGGAGAAATCGATATTTTTGATTTTCGTCTTATTTTGGCCTCTAGAATCTCCCATTACAATTTTTCCGAACACCCTGTATATCAAAAATTAGAATTTTTCGATTCTGGAATGAACATTTTCCACGAGTCAAAATGGAGTCCGGAGTCTAACCTAGAATTTCTACACAGCAAACCTTTTTCGACTCTTGTATCATTCTCTTTAAATTAGCTGGCATGTTCTCTGGCAAATTCGACGATTGGTTGTAATAATTTGGTACCCAATCGAACCTCTGCATTTCATGCAAATAAATATCGAAAATTATTACATAATAATTTACATCAGCTCTCGTAGAAAATAATAGAATCTGACACTGATATTACTTTGTTGAATTTGATAAGAACGCAAGGTTGCATAGGATACGTGTATCCATATGGAGATTTGCTACATACACCGAGGCTTTTGATATCGAAAAAGCACGGTTTGGTGTTACGATCCGATCGAAACGTTTCACCTTGACAACTATCATCGTAGTTCGATATACTTTTATTATACTCTAAAATGAAAATAGCGTTTGTTCATATTTGTATTCAATTGTGTTAAAAAAAAATTATAATCAATTATTAAAAGTAAATTATTTTATCGAGGAACAATGTATAATGTAAATACGAACATCTAATATAGAAATCTTGAATACCTTGCAGAAAATCAGTCAAGGAATGTATGTATCGTTTTGGTCTGGCATTGGTGCTTGAGTTAAATACCGATATGATGGGCGATGCAGCTGATATACTATTCGGTTTGAAAACTATCCCTTGAAAAGAATTTTATTTAATACAGCTTTTGATATTTCTGATTTATAATTAATTTGTATTACTTTGCTATTTTAATTGTAAATTTTCAATTTTAATTATCGTTAAATATTGGTATGGATAAAGTATGTCCACCTGGACTGCCAAAATGTCTGGCTGAACGGGAGAGCAGCAAGTTTCGTCCAGGATGGGATTTTGAAGATAAGCCAACATATTGGAAGAACGGTTTGTCTAATCGAGAAACATAGTCTATACTGATCTTCAGTTGCACCGCGAATATTGTTCCCAGAACGGCGTAGAAACATAGGTAGAATATTCCTAGTTGACCTAAATTTCAAAAACATACGTTCAACGTCGACACAATTGCAGCATGTTCCTCCGCGATGATAAAAAGAATGGACAAAAAACCGGACGGTGTTAAATTGATAGAATGTATTGTTTAGAGTTACACGTCTAGTCTGTACTCGTTCCGTGCGTTTAAATTTTTTCCAAGGACGTTTATCAATTTTTATAAACTCGACACTTTAGCAAAACCGGTTACGGAATCACTGTCATTTAATCTAACGTGAAAACGCAGAAACGAATTCGAAAATTGTTCACGCGAATGGTTATTTGCGTTACCCCATTCTTTTGCTGTTCTATCGAGAAATGCTTTTCGTTCGTTGTCCCAAACGAATCGTGAGAAATTTCCAAGTAGTCCTAAATCGGGCCGGGGCTTTCGACTTTCATAATATTGATCATCGTGTAATATGACCATGTTGAAAGTTTATTAATATCAAACACAACACAAGTTTATTAATACCAAACACAAGATTATTGGGAGAAGGTTAATGGGAAATATTCTGTATTTTGAAGGTAGCTACATATTTCTTATTGTCTGAATATACAGGGTTACATTAAAATAAGTGATCGCATTTTGGTGGTGTATTCTACTTTTCCTAAAAATAAAAAAGATATCGTATAATCATCGTTTTAAATAATCGTAAAATAGTGACTTAAATCCTGTTTAATTTCACGTTGATTATATTCGACTTTAATGTCCACAAAATCCCTAATCAGATCAACGTTTTATTACGTAATGATTTATTGCCATTATATCTTTTTAGTACCATCTATTTTATGTATTTATCTATCCACATATATGGTACAATATACAAGTATCATTTGATCTAAGTTTTCATTAATACTTACCGTGATAGAAACACAGACGAAGTAGTATAGTATAGACTATGCACTTTATGGAAGAAGGTGACTCACAACTGAAATAGCAATCTGGTAAAAAACTAGTAGTTTTCGAGCGATCTCTTCGTGTAAAGAATGGTGATCTTGGAAACTATACAGGGTGTTCGGCCACCTCTAGCAAAAATTTTAATGAGCCATAGTAGAGGCCAAAATAAGACAAAAATCAAGAATACTAATTTGTTGGTGGAAGCTTCGTTAAAAAGTTATTAACGTTTAAAGTGCCGCTCTTACTGAATTTTTTTCTCGAAAATGCGAAAGATTTCGGGGGTATGTCTATTCACCAAAAATGACTGTAATTGAACCCTACAACCGAAAATAATTTTTCCACAACGATTTGCAATTTTTTAATTTTCTCGAATAATTTCACACCTTCTCCATTTTTTTTCTTGAAAGTGGGCAGGATTTCGTGGGTATGTCTAATGACAAAAACTGATTGTAATTGACCCCCGCAACCGAAAATAATTTTTCCACAACGATTTGCAATTTTTTTTCTCCGTTGAAAAATTTAGGCACCTAATTGGATTTTCAGTAAGGAATTTTTTTCTCGAAAGTGCGTACGATTTCGGAGGTATGTGTAATGATAAAAAATGATTGTAATTGATCCCCGCAACCGAAAATAATTTTTTTAAAACGATTTGAAAAATTTTTTTTCGCAGAAAAATTTCAGCACCTACTCGATTTTTTTTCTCGAAAGTAGATAGGATTTCGGAGGTATGTGTACTCACCAAAAATGATTGTAGTTGACCCCCGCAACCGAAAATAATTTTTCCAGAACGATTTGAAATTTTTGAATTTAATTGTTAATAACTTTTTAACGAAGCTTCCATCAACAAATTAGTATTCTTGATTTTCGTCTTATTTTGGCCTCTACTATCGCTCATTAAAATTTTTGCTAGAGGTGGCCGAACACCCTGTATAAGTATTTCAATTTGCAGGACAAACAACCCATTGAATATCTAATCTATCACATTCATGATTTGTAGTAAAATGCTCATTATAATTGTTCTGAAAATACAACAGTAAACAAGAAAATACTATCAACAAATTGGTATTCTTGATTTTCGTCTTATTTTGGCCTCTAGAATCCCTCATTAAAATTTTTCATTTAAATTTTTCATTAAAATTTTTCAATTTAATTTCATTAATTTGAAACTCTACGAGCTCACGTACGCGGTACGCGTGATCTGGCATAAAGTAATAAAGTGGAATGAGGTGTCACCGGTACACCCGGTGCTCCGTCTGGCATCTCTGCCAGTGATGCCAGATTGAGCACCGGGTGCACTACTCACCCTATGCCAGATCACGCGTACGTGAGCTCGTGGAGTTTCGGAGAGTCGACAAAGGCAAACTGACACATGCCCCCTTTCTCGATTCTCCGAAGCTGCCCGAAGTAATTTCGGACCGTCTCGTGGGAGTCGAGAGAGGAAGGCTCATTTGCCTTCTCGCACTTGAACAACTGAAATTCGACCTCACGTCGACGGCATACGATTTCAAGTCTCGACTGGCCAAGTATTTTTTATTTTCCGACCTATGTATGTAAACGAACATAAGCAAGATACTATAATGAAAAAAATTTTGTAAAATTTTTCTTACGGAAATACACGTTTTAAGGCCCCCTGATCATATTTGAATTATTGAAAAAAAAATAAATTCATTTTTATTATTTCTATACATGAGCGTACATATGTATATCATTTCAGATATCACTTCTGATACATCTGGCAACTTATAACCATTACTACTGGCTACTGCCAGCCTCTCGCAGCCTCTGCTGGATTCTGCTGGCCTCTGCTAACCTCTGCCAGCATGTGCGGGCTTCTGCCTGCCTCTGCTGGCCCCTGCTGACCACTGTTGACCACACCTGATACTTCCGACAACGTATAACGATTACTACTGGTTACTGCCAGCCTCTCCCAGCCTCTGTTGGCCTCTCCTGACCTCCGCTTATATTTCTGACGACGTATAACAATTACGACTGACTTCTGCCAACCTCCGCTGGCTTCCGCTGACCACTGCTGATCTTTCCTGGTATTTCTGACAACGTATAACGATTACGACTGGCTACTGTTTGCCACTGCTGGACTCTGCTGTCCACGGCTAGCCTCCGCTGGCCTCTGCTGACCACCTCTGATGCTTCTGACAACGTATAACTATTACTACTTGTTACTGCTGGTCTCTGCATGCCTCTGCATCCCTCTGCTGGCCTCTGTTGGCCCCTGCCGACCACTGCTGACCACTGCTGACCTTTGTTATCAACTTCTGACATGATGTATAAGTATTCAAGCCTTGTATAATGTAAATCTATGGCAATAAATGATATAATTTAACAGAATTCTATGTGTTCTCATCATTTTTACCTTTCTTTTCCTCTCCAAATCATTGCCTTAGTTTTAAGAGACCGTTTTTCCTGTTAAAATTGGATTCCCAAAGTGTCCAGCTCTCGTACTTGCTGCCAAAATCAAAAATTAACTTTAAATTTTTTTTCTGTAACCGTCACTCTCGGACCTGTTGGCAATATCGAGAATTCATTTTTTTCGTCAAAAAATTTCTGCTCGAAAATTTCGCCGATTTCCCAAGAAGTCCTGAAACAACTGGGAAGTCCTGAAACAGCTGGAAATGCCTGAAACAGCTGGAAAGTCCTGAAACAACGAAAAAGCCCCGGAACAGCGAGAAATCCCTGAAACAGCTGGAAAGTCCTGAAACAACTGGGAATCACTGAAACCGCTGGAAAGCCCTGAAACAGCTGGAAAGCCCTGGAATTTCTTGGAAACGCCGAAAATTCTTGGAAACCCTGAATTTTTAGCACAGTTCTGAGTTTCAGGACTTCCTAGTGGGTTCAGGGAAACCAAGGAGTTTCAGGGAGTCTTATAACTAAGGTAATGATTTGGAAAGGAAAAGAAAGGTAAAAAATGATGAGAACACATAGAATTCTTTGTAATTATATCATTTATTGCCATAGATTTACATTATACAATGTTTTAATACATATATATCATGGCAGAAGTTGATAACAATCAGCAGTGGTCGGCAGGGGCCAACAGAGGTCGGCAGAGGGATGCAGAGACATGCAGAGACCAGCAGTAACAAGTAGTAATAGTTATACGTTGTCAGAAGCATCAGGGGTGATCAGCAGAGGGCAGCGGAGGCTAGCCGTGAACAGCAGAGACCAGCAGTGGCAAGCAGTGACAAGCAGCGGCAAGCAGTACCCAGTCGTAATAGTTATACGTTGTCAGAAATACCAGGAAAGGTCAGCAGCGGTCAGCAGAGGCCAGCGAAGGTTGGCAGAAGTCAGTCGTAATTGTTATACGTCGTCAGAAATATAAGCGGAGGTCAGGAGAGGCCAACAGAGGCTGGGAGAGGCTGGCAGTAATCAGTAGTAATCGTTATACGTTGTCAGAAGTATGAGGTGTGGTCAGCAGTGGTCAGCAGGTGCCAGCAGAGGCAGGCAGAAGCCCGCACATGTTGGCAGGGGTTAGCAGAGGCCAGCAGAATCCAGCAGAGGCTGCGAGAGGCTGGCAGTAGCCAGCAGTAATGGTTATAAGTTGCCAGATGTATCAGAAGTGATATCTGAAATGATATACATATGCACGCTCATATATAGGAATAATAAAAATGAATTTATTTTTTTTCAATAATTCAGATACTATCAGGGGGTCTTAAAACGTGTATTTCCGTAAGAATAATTTCACAAAATTTTTTTCATTATAGTATCTTGCTTATGTTCGTCTACGTACATAGGTCGGAAAATAAAAAATACCTTCCCAGTCGTGACTTGGAATCGTATGCCGTCGACGTGAGGTCGAATTTCAGTTGTTCAAGTGCGAGAAGGCAAATGAGCCTTCCTCTCTCGACTCCCACGAGACGGTCCGAAATTACTTCGGGCAGCTTCGGAGAATCGAGAAAGGGGGCATGTGTCAGTTTGCCTTTGTCGACTCTCCGAAACTCCACGAGCTCACGTACGCGTGATCTGGCATAGGGTGAGTAGTGCACCCGGTGCTCAATCTGGCATCACTGATCTCTTGCTGTAATTTTGGTTTCATGAATCGCGTCTGTTTCGGGTAGTCGAATTATTACGGTATGGCTGATGTGGGTCTAAGTTTAGATGACATAATTAAAAAATCGCAATCGCCAGGAATGAGAAGCAAAGGTGGAGGGTGAGGCAGTTTAAAAAAATCACTAATAAAATTGACTCTGCAATGACTACTATATTATCGATTACCTTATAACCTTAAAGAATTAAGCCTCCAGTCATTAAAGAAGTTTGCCTTCTGATGTATCTGGCAATACCTTCAAGAAATCGTTATTTCGGCCGCAGTGTTACTTTCTCGAATCATTTTCTTATTACGCTAATTTGGCGATTTTAATTAACAATTTAATACAAAAAAGTAGAAGTTCCTCAAAATCTTTTGGTTTTACTTAACGCAAAGTGTCATAAAAAATATTTCAAAGATCGGATCTTTTTTCCCTGAAAACGTTTCTCGAATATCGGTCAAAAAATTTCTATTGTCATAAATTTCACAGTTATTTAATAAAAAATTTTACAACTATCAATTATACTCCAAATGATATTTATTTACTGTTGTCTAACCCTGCTCTGTATTACTAATAATATTTAAATGTAACATTGTATGAGGTAAACATTTACATTTATATATAATATAGTATAATTAAATAGATCTGTCGATATTAATTATTCTTCTGTTATTTGTTGTACAGTGTTCGTAAACGAATTAATAGGGGAGCACGTGCTAATGGTTCTTTAAGGGGACGCGGTGGTACGCAAGTAATTACCGATGCAAGATTTAAAATTATACAAAAAAATAGAGAGAAACTTACGGATGCAAGAGACAAACTAGCTGAAATTGCAAAGCAAAGCGATGCTAGATTAAAATTAGACAAGATACGTGCGTCCCAATTGAAAAAAGTAGAATCACAGTTGCCTGGAATTTCTCGAAAAACTGGTCGCAATGGAAGGTTGTCTTTATCGACTAATAAAATGCCACCGATAATACCGCATTCTATACCTCCTAATATTCCAAACAACTATATGCCTCCGTCAACAAGAGCAGTAGGTTATAGGCCTCCGCTGCTTACAGAACCTCATTATATGGGAGACATGAACGTGGATTACAATGATGGTGTGAAAAATTTGTACTAAATATTTGAAACAACGTATTATTCGTAAAATCATTTGAGATGTTTATGTTTCAGATTATTTAATGGAAACAGCACCTTTAAGACGAACCGTGAGTAATGAATATGCACCTACACCACCACCACCGCCTCCTGTGTTCAGTATTAAGCCTTCTGCATCTCCTTACACATGGGTAAAACCAGCAAATACTAACATAACAAGAATTGTACCTTCTCGGAAACCGGACGTAGACAGAGAGCGGGATAGAGCAAGGGACTATAAAGTTATCGCGCGTTCCACGATGGTGAATATTTTCATAATTGCTGTTTCATTAATATGGAATATTAACGTTTATATTTGTGCTTGATACTTGTAGACAAAACCCGCCTCCCCATTGTACAAAGAAGATTGGAGTTTTGGCACAAAATCACGGTATACATTTGTATTAGTTTGTTTAATTGGTCTATTACACGACATTAAATTTGTTGTAATCGGTGCTTAACAGTAATGCTATTCCATAGTACTATATTAGCAGAAGATCCAATAGAATCAAAGTATTACGATTCGAGAAGTCATAGAGACGTGGGTGTAAAATCAAGATTAGATTCGATACCAACTAAATCACGAACCATGAGTGTTTTATCCCGCTCGAAAACGAGCTCTAGTTCGTTATCTCCGTCAACTGGTTATAGAATCGTAGTGTCAAATTTACAAGCAAATGTTACTCAAGAAGATATTAAGGTACGATTCGTTAAATCAATAGAATTAGTATTAACTTAATCATGAGAACCACCAATGTCTTTGTATTTCAGGAATTGTTCGAGGATGTTGGGGAATTATTAGTGTCCAGATTAGTACGGCCGGGCACCGCGGAAGTAATTTATAAAACACTAAAGGATGCTACTAAAGCTGTTGAAACTTATCATAATAGGCAGTTAGATGGACATCCGATGAAATGTCTTCTCGTAAATCCGCGACCAAAAAATAATCCAACAGGTCCCGCTGTTAGGTCTCTTACAGAGTAAGTATATAAGTTTATAATTATTTAACCGTGAAATACGTGTTGTATAAAAATATGTTTGCATCCTTTTTACAGAACTAGAAGAAGCGTAAGTTCAAGTTACGTACAACCGAGTTTAGAAGCCGTGCATCGCGCATTGTTCGACGATTCTTAAGTAAATATATCACTTTTAATCAGAAAATGCCATGTATAATGGTAACGAATTTTATTCCAAATATGTCTAAAACGGAATAAAAGTGGGGAATAGGGATGGAATGAAGAATATAAAAAAATCGTAACTTGTAGAAAGGGGAATTCTAAGTGGAATTTCTATTAATGAAACATCACTTAGTTTACTTTTACTTTGTATAAAACAAGTATGACTTCGACAATTATCGAGAAGAATACGATAGCAATGAATTTAATTTGTAAACAACAGATACAAGATGCTTCTTGTACATTTATTACACTCAAATAAAACAAAGCATTTAGGAATTTTTAATATTTCGTTTTTAATGAAATTTTGACACGGGAAGAAAATAAATGCCTCTGTGTTGGAATTAAAGCGAAGAACCCAATATACCTGTTACTCGAAGTTCAATAAATTTCGTGGCTTTCGACAAGATCTACAATAGATACGAGGATTAGGCGTCGTTACGATAGAATCTATTACAGGTTTTATTTGCTCGGTACAAAATGGTTATAATAATGTAATTCAAATCTACAAGTTATAAAATCTAATATATCGTGTGTACTATTAATGACATGCACAGAGTCCTTTCAAAAGTAGACACTGTTCAACAGATACAAACCTTTTTCCTATTTTGCACTGTCCAGTAGACAATCATGAGAATTCTCATTCCACCGAGTTCGATTATAATCGAACGTGTTATTTTGTGTAAAGGCGGGGCAACATGCACGAATTAAAAACACTAGACAGTTTAATGTAATTCTCAAACGATAGATTCCTTAATTGTTCGGTATGTATTTTTATTAAATTTCCAAGGCGTTGAGTGAAAGGAATATTTGGGGGGGGGGGGGATGAATTACGAAGATTCGAATGAAAGTTAACCGTGCTGTAACCGTTATTGTAAGATGCGTGGCCGAAGGGAAGTACGGGGCAAGTATTTGGAATCAGTCGACGATTGTAATCCGACGTAATAAATGGCACATAAATAATTTTATTCTTTCGTCACAACTACAATTTCTAAGGGAGAACAAATTTACGAGACACGATTCAATTTTCTTCGAGTCATTAACCACGTGTTTCGTCGACAATTATATATTAACGTTGTGTACCTTTGTTACCCTCATACATCCACGTGAAAAGAAGATATACAATTAAGATACAAAATATAATAAAAAAATTAATGTAAAATAGTTTAGTACCTAGACGCTACGGCGCGATCGCTTCTCTGTGATATTTACAAAATGTCATTAATTAGCACTGATCATCAATACTGAATCTTATCTGAATCTATTATTCGCTGGTACGTTAAAACATAGGAAATTTTGAACTTCGGTTTCCTGGAATTGTTCTCACCGTCGAATAATATTAATTTAACTTTTGCGATTGCTCGCTTTGGATTTGTTTGGCAACCGTAGAACCTCCGCGTACGACATCTCTAACCGTTTCAATCGCGCTACCTCTTCCGACGCCGTGCTAGGTTTGTAGTCCTTGTACTCGAAACTATTGTTATGTTGATTGTTACCGTTGCTGCTTGTGTACATGTTCGATTGCCTTACAGCGTTCGGCGATCCTTTCGTCCTGTTCGCGTAACCGTAACCGTTCCGCGTGCCACCATTTTGATCGGCCACGGTGAACGGTCTGAACTTCTTCTTACCGCCGCTGTTCAATTTCGGCGGCACCACTTTCGGATTCGTCGTCGGGATCACGTCCGCGGCGTTGGTGGTGGTCGTGGTGGCCGTCAGTTTGTCGTTGTACGATAACTTTCTGCTAGCGTACTTCTTTGGCGTTTTCTTCGAGCCGTGGAAGTTGATCGACACATAGTCCAAACGATTTCCGTTCCGTTGGCTCGCTACCTTTCCGTGTTTAACGTGCGCGTTGGTTGATTCGTTCGTTTGCCGTTCGTGCGCTGCGTTCGCTGGAACCGGCGTTTGCACTCTGTACAACGGTTCGGACACAACGGACGAGACGATAGAAGAAACAACGCTCTGATTGTCGTCTGTGGTTTCGCTGGGGAAATACTCTTGCGTCAACGCCGACGACTGCGGCTGGAAAACCAGCGTGTTGGACGAGTCGTCCAACAGTGGCAGCATTTCACCTTCGTCTTTCGCTTCGGCCGCGCGTTTCAAAATGCTGAATATTTCACTGAACACTAGCCTGTACTCCGGCGTCTTGCGGAATCTACTTTCGAACGGGCTCTTGTCGTCGTAGATGCTGAACTTGCAATCCTCACCGTCGGCGATGGAACATAGGAACGAACCGGGTCTTCCTTCGGTCTGCGTCGCTTTGTTGCTCGTCTCGTCCAAGAATCCGGAAGACGACGTCTCCGCTTCGGAGAAGTCTGTGGGGGTGGCGGAGAATGGTTTCTTACCGCAGATCTCCGTCTTGGTGCGCGTACCGTTTGCATTCGTGGATTTCGTCGACTCTTGCTGCAACTCCGTCTCCAGTGACCGATAGTTGAAGCTACCGAATTCGCCCGACATCTCGAGCTCTTCTTGCAGGGACATGCAGGCCGCGGGCACATTGTCTTTTTGTCGAGGCGCCGAACGTCTTTGGACTTCCAACAAGGCTTGATACTTCTCTACGAGTACTCTATACGGATTGTACGGGTCGTTGGTCGTTCCGTCTTTATTGCCACCGTCCTGCAAGCAACGTATTTTTACATTGTACGTATCAGCTGTACAGGCTAATTCTGTAATTTGTACGCGAATCCTATGGCGAGTCACAAAATTATTGGCGCAGGTAATAATTTGTATAGAACTATGAGAAACGAAAAGACGACAAACGAATTTTAATAGTTTCTATTAAAGAGCAGCTTGTCGTTACTATTTATAGTATAGGAAAATATTACAATTTTAAAGCAATTTCAAGACATGATTTCACTGTTATATTTTGTAGTTTCATTCGTTAAAGAACTATTCGTTTCTTAACCTAAAAGATGTATTAAAACCCCTTTATCGTCTTCTTATTTTACTCGATGCAGTCACATTTCTTGTACGCAATCATTTTGCGACTCTTTATGCGTGGAACAGGCGAGAATTTGTTAGTATAGTTTAAATGATTTCGCGAATGATTACTGTTAAAAATTACCTTTGACGTATTGTCGGGCTGCGTCTCGTTAAAAGTTTCTTGCTACCGATCAAACATAAATTTTGTTAGTGAACTAGTTCGTAATTTTCAAAAGCGTGTTGTGCGTTTGGAGTTCAAAGATCGAATGGAATCGGTGATGCAGCTACGGTTACGTGAGTTTTATTGTTAGAAACGCTAGCTTTGCGAATAGAGTAGGAGTTCAAGCACGGTACTATACTGCCTCGCTTCTTGCATCATTCTACGTTAGGGATACGTGCAACGAAATCGTCCCCACCACAGTTTACTGAACTACGCTGAATATTTTTAATACGGTATCGTGTAAAAATGATCACAATTAAAAGAAGTGAAATATTTTAGTATGATTGCAAGAAGAGGAGCGGTACTTGCATGAAACCGAACGAATTAATAAAATGTAATTCGATCGTTTCGAGAGCATTCAGAAAACGAGGATGGCTGGGTAAGAGGCAAAGGAACAGCCAGATTTATAGGATATTAAATAAAAGAAGCAACATCGGTTATTGGAAAAATACATTTTATTTAAGATCATATAAATCTGGCACTTACATCGTACAACACAATTTTAACAAATACATCGACTAGATATACTAACAACATTCGGTCATGCTCAAAAGTCGAACGAACAAAAAAAAAAACTAAAAAAAGGTAGACGATACAGCAACTTAATTCTAAAAAGTAAGCAGCATCGCTAGATATCCGATCTACTTAAATTTTAAGTATCAGTCTCGAACGATTACACGAAACGATAACTTATTTGCTAAGTTCGATAATTTAACGCAGTCTTATTATTCTTTGAAAACGAATCTTTTCTCTACACGCTATATAATATTTACAAATTGTAAACGTTACGCTAATTTCCTTATTTTAGCAATACTCGGAACGTGCAAAAGAACATTTTCTGTCATTTCATCCGAATGAATTTAATTCTATTGTCGTTCACTTATCGTATTAAATTCGTTACGAACTCTTAATAATGTAAGTGCTCAGTTATAAGTTTCGTTTTGATTTACCTACACCGTACCTTAGCCAAGCTTATCGAAAAAGTCATGACGCGTCTAACACTGTATTCGTAATTTTGATATACCTCAAAACTATATTTGGTTAAACTAGTAAAACAATGGAATGACACTAGGAACAGTCTAAGCTTAAAAAAAATCTTCGATATATGTAGAAACGATTATCCATCTAGCGTGAACGCCAAAATACAAACTTGAAATTTTAATGCTCAAGAAAGACAAGAACCTATTTGAAGATCAATTAGAAGAGATCCTTTTTTTTTATATTAATAATAATTCCAATTATTATTAAGAATAGAAAACGAAACGAATGGAAAAAGGAATACTCAATTCGTTGACATAGCTCGTCGTTACGGATATTCGTTCTACGCATGCGTCGAGTGAATCCTATCGATATCAACGATTTACTTTAGATTTTAATTATGGACACGAGTAATTAGCGTTGTCTATATACATGCGATGCTCTAAAGCAATTTTTTGCGATTATTCAGCGGCAAGACCTTTTTTAGAATAAAAATCGGTATTCGAAATGGTTTCATCAACAACGGTATGATGCATTCGTTTTTTATGTAACATATCGTATGGAAAAAGACAACGATCAACGACGGTGCTTTCCATATATACGCGAAAGCTGTCCACAACGGGAAACGAAATTCTTTAGTCTCTGTTTTTGCCTTGGATTTCTTAATCTTTGTTGCAAATGTTTCCTAAAGCAAATAAAATTCAAATTACTTTCCAAGCGGGGCTCGTTGAAAAACTTCGAGCCCGTAACATGTATCATCGACGGACGAATGCGAACGAAGCAAAGATCAAAGAGGGGAAAAAACGCGGGAAAACTTTTCATGCGGGTATATACAGTTCAACGAAACAAGCCTTGGCAAATATAGAAAGAAAATAATAATTTACCTGAGTAAGCGTTTCGGTTTCGTGTTGATTATCATTCATCATTGATTCGGCCATACTAATGTCATATTCTTCCTGATCCAATATTACCGTGAGTTCGTCGTGCGTTTTCGTCTCCATACCGCGCAAACATCGACCGCATAATTGTCCACGTCTGAAAATATTCAAATGTTTCTTCACTGAAACCTGTTTCTGTGCAACAAATTGTCGATTTGACGAATATTAACATTTTTCACGGCTTAATGTGCTCTGATAATGTTATGATCGTTTGTGACAGTTTACCCTATCTTTCTAGGTTATGGGAGAAGTAGGACATTTGCACGCCAAACGCGGTAAAAATATATTGTGACTAAGATATTATACCTATCTATCTTTAATTTTAATTCATACACAGTTCTATTAACTTTACATGTTGCAAATGATCTAGATGACGCTACAGCCTCGTAGAAAACTTAGGTGTACATTTTACCCTTTGTACATTATACATTATTATAGAATACAATATTTTAGCATTTTAGTGCGAGTGTGCAGATATATATGTTGTACTAAAGTAGCTTACTGGTTTTTTTTTATTAAGTTATGAAAGAAGTTACTTTTGGATCAGTCTTCATCGTTGGTAAGGCATTTAAAGGATTCTGACTCCTATTAATTTTTGTTTCAATCTGAAATCTTCAGAAATCTCCCTACATGTTTCGTCAGCTTTATAAAACAATTGACATTGTTCTGAGGTAAGTTTTCTGCCTCTACTCATTGTGGTTCCTTACAATAAACTTTTAACTATTTTACCTAATTGACGGATACCGACAACAGATGCTTTCAATATTGATATTTCAACAAAAAACTAAACGTAATAGAAGGTTTAAATTCTACAATTATAAAGTTTAGATATTTTTTGGAGCTTCTCAAGGCAATATAGACAGTTTATAAATTAAGATGTGGTTTGTATGAAAATAAATGGCTGCCACTGTGAATGACAAGACTTTTTACAATGGAATTAATTGAATGAATTTAAGCAAAGGAAGTTAAGTAAAACAAGGTTACCAAAGATACGTACCTCACTTCCTCGAGCGCGTTTATTTCTTCTTGAAGATTTTTTACGTCTTGCGCTTTACTACGCCAAACGTTTAACAGTTCCTCCAAAGTACTGTTCTCTTGCATTAGAGTTGCCAATTGTTGTCCAAGTTCCGTCGCTTTCTTTTGTTCCCTTGCTCTTTGGCTTCGTACCTCTTGCAACTGTCTTAGCAATTCGGTCATTTCTTCTTCCGACGGGGCAGCGTTCTGTAAAACGTTTCAATGATATTCTTCTTTACAAAACAATAATCGCTTCTGAATACTACATCAATCAGTAAATTGGTAACTACAAATTCATAATGAAGGGCTCAAAGGGGAGGGTGCTAAAAGAAAGTCTGTTGATTGTTCAACATTTATAAAAGAAAATAATGAGGGAGGATAATGACATCCGCCATTGTGTGGAAAAACGTTCTTTTAAAACAATCATTGTATTTATTAATTCAAATCATTTATCTCTAAGTGGAATAAAATAAAAAATTTTGTACTGATTGATTATACTCGTCAAAAAGAAAGTAGAATTAAAAATAGATCTCTTAAAAACGCATTAAATGTGTAAAAATAAGGAAAACCAACCGGATTGGACTAAATCATGTTCGAAATCAACACGATCGTAATCTGGTTAGAATGTTACACTCATGTACGATCCATAATTTACTGTAATTTCAAATGCAGATCGCGAACGTGAAGATGTTACTTTTCCACGCCATGTTAGGCGATACGAAAATATAAGCAACATCGATAGAATAACGATCAAGGAAGTATTGACCCGCGAACTATGATATAAAATTTCGCTAGTCCGCGATTATAAATTATTTCTCAAATGTAACAAAAGGAGATTGTTAGGAAGTTGTTCGAACCGCACGGAATAGAAATTCCGCAGTGAAATTGTAAGTTTTTATGCTGAAATCGAGATTCAACGTTTTATGTTCGGTATCAAACGGTATAGTCCGATTATTATCGAACTTATCTAAGATCGGGGCAAAATGAATTCTATGAATATTTATACCTGTTGTGTGCTGCCACCCTGCGTGACCGATGCTTTCCATAGACTGGTCTGTGTTTGCGTGGTTTTCATCGATTGACTCGTCCACTGTTGCCGAAGCACATTTCTATGTCGTTCGTTTATCTCCTCGTTTTTCTTCTGTAAATCCTCGCACCGAGATTCGAGATTCTCGATCGTTAAACATTGACTGTTGACAAATCAGAAAGAAATACTTTTACAAACACGAAACATATGAATTGAATAGAGTTTGAATATTAACCATAAAGAATATATTTAAAGGAAAGTGTTTCTCCAACGATTCCCCGTGCGTGTATGGGCGGAGTATCGACACGGCGTGAGTGGGGGGAACCGACTTCGAGCCTTTTATCGAGGTAGAGATTCGGTCTTATAACGAGTAGCTACCATAAAATTGTCAATATTCGTACCTTTTGATAAGTTTCTTGTCAGTAGTGTTCTCCATCACGAGGCGGTGGTTGGCACGTTCCAAGTCCTGTATACTGACTTCGAGTTGCTCATAAATTTTTAGTCTTGAATCGTTCACTTCCCTCAAGGCAGCCGTCTGTTTTTTCATATACTAGAAGAAAAACACCACGTAACGTTAAACTAATAGTTCCTTACGATCAACGAAAGAATTTTGAAGCGTAATTATCGACAAATTACCTCTATCTCTTGTGCTTGTTCCTCGATCGTGGTGTGGTGAAGTTTGATGATGTTCTCCAATTCTTTATTCCGTTCCAGGAGGGTCTTGCCGAGTTCTGCCGCCAACTGTAGGTCTGTAATAGAGTTACGAGCCGATTAGATAAATTTAGATTCAACAAACAATGTATTTAGTTGTAATTACTGTTTGATGAATTTTTGAAAATGTCTAAACAAATTGCAAGAAGATTGTATCGGTGCTGTTTACGCAATACAAAGTTATCAACGTGTAAGGTCTTACATCATTACATCGAGTAAAGATTATGATCATATATGAGGAAGCATTTTGAAAAGCGAGGCTCAGTTTAATTATTATCGAACCTAATTTAATTTAATGTGCTGGTTGTAACGAACTACATATTTGGTTTTAGAATGCACTTATTAAACTGTCCAATACAAATTTCTACGATGCCAATCGGTAGTTTTAATTAATCCAATGAATAATGAATAATTTTTTAGAATTGAATGGATATATACCCGAACGTATAATTATTATTTAACAATGTTTATGATAAATAATGTTTATGATAAATAACGTATCTTTATAATTTTCTTTAATCAAAATTTACAATAATAATAATACATGTATAATTATTTTAAAGATTCTGGTTTTTAGTTATTTTGGATATCACAATTACGAATAAATATTCATAATTAAATTATCTAATGATCAGTATCTCGGGTACATAGTTTTGGATATAAAATGGCTGATAAAGTGTGAATATATTCAAGAAAATTATTTAACTAAATTGTTATCTCGTATCTATTCATTTTAGTTATTGCAAAGTAACTATAAATATTTAAATTTCCATTGAGACTTAGTACACTTGCGATATGATTGTTACACCTTGTAGGTTTTTATTTTTCTATTACATTTGTTATTTTTAATATTTTTTTATTTAACTTCTGAAACGAAGAAAAAATAAAATTGTACTTCGTGCCTTTACTTATATCGAGTATATTATTATATTTTATATAAATGTATTGATTTTCAGTAGCTGCTGTAATCATAAGTTGCTGGATAGTTACAAAAGTCAAAGTTGTTTGATAGTTACATTCATCCATTTTAATGAAATTTGGTACCATTATGTCAAAAATATTCCACAGGTATTTTTTTTGTCGGCCATATTTCGCGTTGAGGGGGTGAAAACCGCCCTCAAAACAAGGGTGGTGAGACATGGTTGATTAAATATCAATAATTAGTATTTTTTTAACGATGAATTTGACTGTATAAATAAACTTACAAAAAGAGTGAATAATTTTTAAAATCTGAAATCTATCTGCCTAAATACGAAATATGGAAACTCTTGTCTGTAGATGTTAATACTGATTAAGCTTGAGTTTGATCAACTCTTAATAGCCAACACGCTCTCAAAGTGTTCCCCGTTTTGCATTACATGCTAGATTTAAAGATTTCTTATCGAATGTGCACGAAACGTTGTTCGAACTAAGAATTATAATAATAAATTTTAGTATTTCGAACGCGTCGAGCAACTGTGTTTCTTTCCACGACGACTTGTAAAGCACCACTGAATACAAACGCCACGCGACACGAATAACCGAATAGCGAATATAGCGGCTATGACGAGTTCTATCGCTCTTGTTGGACAATTCTTCTGTGCACGATGTGACTTTTAATCTCAAACGATAGGGTACAACTTTCTGCCCAATTTTTACATATTCTTAGAGCAGTTATAAAAAAAAAAGATGTTGCAAAAGAAGGCAAAGTTAAAATAAATAAGGTTAAAATTTGATGGACAAATAAAAAAATATATTAGAAACTAGATTGTCTAATTTTTATACATTCTTAGAGGAGTCACTTCATAAAAAAAAGACGTTGCAAAAGAAGGCAAAGTTAAAATAAGTGAGGTTAAAGTTTGATCGAGAAATAAAAAAGTAAATTAGAAACTAGATTGACTAATTTTTACACATTCTTAGAGGAGTCACTACATAAAAAAAAGTTGTAAAAGAAGGCAAAGTTAAAATAAGTGAGGTTAAAGTTTAATGGACAAATAAAAAAATATATTAGAAACTAGATTGTCTAATTTTGACACATTCTTAGAGGAGTCACTTCATAAAAAAAAGATGTAAAAGAAGGCAAAGTTAAAATAAGTGAGGTTAAAGTTTGATGGACAAATAAAAAAATATATTAGAAACTAGATTGACTAATTTTTACATATTCTAAGAGGAGTCACATCATAAAAAAAAGACGTTGCAAAAGAAGGCAAAGTTAAAATAAGTGAGGATAAAGTTTGATCGAGAAATAAAAATATAAATTAGAAACTAGATCGGTGGATTGTACGGGCATGGGAGTCGTAGGGTTAATTGCGTTTAGTTTTGTAGAACTTTCTTATTAGCGACGATGATCGCTCGTCAGCGTCTCGAATGATTCGAAACGATCGCGAATCGGAACGATAACGCCGGATGTTCCAGGCAGGTGAACTTGACGGTGAGCGGTCTGATTCGCAGCAGTCCGTCGTCCTGAAACTGACGACCTCCAGCGATTCCACAAGCAACGAACGTGCAACCATACTCCAGCTAGGGCCAAGGACCTTCGCGCTGAGCAAACGACCCAACTACCGTTTCTCCTTACTATCCCCTTACTGTCATTAATGTTACCAGACTCGTGTTAAGGGGTTATTATTCGTTTCCTTCGACCAAAAAAAATCCATTTTTCATACATTTTTTTTTTACGAATATATCAAACTTAATCTCGTCTGGAATGTCTCGTTTATTTTTAACGGTGGGGAATTCACGAGGGAACTAATATTTCTTTACGAGCAAACAATCTTTCAGAAGGCCACATTTTTCGAGATTTAAGGATCATCCAAGTTTTTTTTTCTTTTTTTTTTTTTAGTGAAATAATGTATTTCCCTTATTCTGAAATGCAAATTCCAGCTGTGTGTAATATGTTGATCTCTAGATGACCTTGAATGATAGAAGTCACGTTTAAACGAGTTTTAATGGATACATGTAGCCATTTTATATCAGACGGTATTCAAAATAATTATTGTTAACTATATATTGATTTATCATATTCGAAAGCGTATAGATAGTTGCCTATAGGGTATTTGACCCCAGTCAGTAATTTTAATCTTCTTTTACATAATGCGACTAATTAGAAATTAAAGCTCGCCAAGAACATTTTGCAGGATTTATGCATGGCTTCTTTTATGGGAACTTGCTATGTAGTTTCCAGTATTAATTAATTTATAAATATATAAAGATTCAAGAAATATTTTTCGTCACATCCCTTAAAATTCCTCATATTAGTAATTGAACATTATATTGTTCAGAATATACTTGTTAAACATTCTAATGAAATTCGAAATATGGACATAGTTACAGAGGATTTAAGTAGGCTGCGTTCGAGCAGAAGATGATCTGAAATGAAACTTTAAACACGTTTGTGTCGAAACTATGTTATGCTCAAACTGGTTGACATGATTTCACACAAGCTAATAAACCGATTAAATTCAAGTTATACATACACATTTATATAGAAAATATTTAATATTAATTCTACCTCTATATAAGATAATTGGAATTATTCCAGAGTATTACAGTTATTAAAATTATTTAATCAATAATCCCTACTGACCCGCTAATGATCCATCATTAATTGAAGAAAAATTCTGTCTATCTCTGATAGAAAGAATATATCAAGAAGAATAAGGAAAAATTGATCAAATATTTATTTTAGATATTGGTATTACAAAAATTACCAGAGTGAGTAAACATTGTATCCTGTGCCTATTTTGTTTAATACTTTTTATTTCGTTATTGATATAAAATTTTTATCTTGTAATTTCAACGATTTTTCTCGTTTTATTCAATACCAAAAATTTACAGTAATTATTGCTTCGTTTCGAAAAAATTGCATCGTTTACACATTTTTTTTTATTATATGCATCTTGTGGCCTAATTCGCGACAGATGTTTTGCAAACATCGATATTGTATAAACAACTGTAGGATACAATAAGAAATACTAAGAAATTGTTCTTTTGTGGAAAATGAAGAAACAATACATACGAAAAGAAGAATTAATTTTTGAATTCTTTATGCTTTAGCTGTGAATGTTTTAACATAACGTTCGTCGATTTTCTATATCATTTCTAACATCTAAATACGATCAGTTAGCTACGTAAGAAAGTAAACATAATTACATGCAGTATTAAGTTCAAATGCGTGTAACGTACTTCGAAGCACGAAGTAAAAGTGTTCTCGTGTCATTTCTATCATAGAATGTCGATTCGATAATTACAAGCATAGATCGATGTGTTTATTAAACGTTTCTCACAATTTATGTTTTGGTTTCTTTCGGTGTACACAGCTCAGTTAGATTTTATATTATATTGTGACTTGTCAGGTCTGTCATGCAATCTCGGTCTTTGTCTGAAATGTCATTATAGTTTCTGTAAAAAAATTTAGTTAATTTTCTTTTATACTTCGATCACTATTGTAAATTTAATTATTGCATTTCTAATGATGATCCTATATTGTTCGTTTTTGTTAACTCTTTGTAAATAATTTACTTATTTCTAGGAAAAATAAAACATTTTTATCACCGGTCCGTTTACCTGTTAATGCATAACATTCAGAAAAAATTCATATTTTATAGATCCGTACAATGTTAGCACAAGAAAAGCACGTCGAGTAAAAAGACTTAATTATGCGAAGTAATTAAATTTTGTACACCGGGACTAAGATATAAATCGAAGAGTTTAATAAACACAGTAAACTATGTTCGTATAATTATGAACTATTCCATTAATTTCGTAGCGCGACAACCGATATGTGTTATGAATTCTGTCGTAGAATATTTCTTCGTCGCGATACTTGTCTCCGTAAACCGTTCACCATTATGCAGGAATTTCTGTCACTCGTCGCTAACCTGCGGGTTTTACGGAACACGTTCAAAACATATGTAAATAAATCCTTCGTACAATTCAACATAATACTATTAATACCTTATTCTGCATAAGTATACACTTTGCATGCGTTTTCCATATGTTTTTTCACACCGTAAGTCTGTTCCTTCCTAAGGTTCGAAGATCAACCAATTGTCGACGGATC